GAGAAGGGGATGAAGATCATGCACACAAAGGAAAAACTCCCAGGACTACAGTCAGTGGAGATGGATATGTGTGAAGAATGCATACTTGGAAAGCAGAAGAGAGTCAGCTTTCAGACAAGTGGCAGAATCCCTAGGAAAGAGAAGCTAGAGCTCGTTCACTCAGATGTATGGGGAACAACAACCATCGTGTCTATTGGTGGGAAACACTACTTCGTGATTTTTATTGATGATCACTCTCGGAAAGTGTGGGTCTACTTTCTGAAGCATAAGTCAGAAGTATTTGAGGCTTTCAGAAGATGGAAAGCTATGGTCGAGAATGAGACCGGTCTGAGAATAAAGAAGCTCAGGACCGACAATAGTGGTGAGTATGAAGACACCGGATTCAAGAAGTTCTGCTATGAGCACGGGATCAGAATGGAGAAAACCGTGCCCAGCACGCCTCAGTAAAATGGTGTAGCTGAGCGGATGAACCGAACATTGACAGAGAGAGCCAGAAGCATTCAGGTATAGTTAGGCCTACTGAAGCAGTTCTGGGCAGAAGCAGTCAACACAGCAGCTTACTTGATCAATCGAGGTCCATCGGTTCTATTGGAGCGCAGAATACCAGAGGAGGTATGGTGCGGAAAGGAGGTAAAACTCTCACATCTTAAAGTTTTCGGTTGTGTAGCTTATGTGCATATTAGTGATCAAGACAGGAATAAGCTTGATCCCAAGTCAAAGAAATGCACTTTCATCGGCTATGGTGAAGATGAGTTCGGCTACCGCATTTGGGACAACGAAAACAAGAAAGTGATCAGGAGCAGAGATGTGATATTCAATGAGAAGGTGATGTACAAGGACATGTACAAGACAGATGACTCAGAGAGCGAGTCAATATTTGTAGATGCAGATGATGTCCCGGGTAACCTCTCGGAACAACCCAATGAAGAAGATCCTCAGCCAGAAGAGCCTGTTGGACAAGATGGTGTGCAAGAGCCCGACGCACCAGCTCCGATTTTGAGGAGATCATCACGTCCTCCTGTACCCAACAGGAGATACATGAACTATTTGTTGTTGACAGATGGAGGGGAGCCTAAAAGCTATGCTAAAGCTTGTCAGGGTGGAGATACGATCAAGTGGGAGCTTGCCATGAAAGATGAGATGAAGTCTCTCATCTCAAACCAGACGTGGGAACTAGCTGAGTTGCCCACGTGTAAGAAGGCATTCCACAACAAATGGGTGTACCGGGTGAAAGAGGAGCATGATGGTTCCAGAAGATATAAGGCCCGGCTAGTTGTCAAATGATTCTAGTAGAATGAAGGAATTGACTACACCGATATTTTCGCTCCCGTGGTGAAGCTAAATACTATCAGGACAGTGATGAGTATTGTAGCAATTGAAGATCTTCATCTCGAGCAGTTAGACGTGAAGACGGTGTTTCTTCATGGAGATCTAGAAGAGGAGATATACATGCATTTGATACGAGTGTATCTTCTCTTCGGAGCTTAGTGATCCTCATGGGAGCTTGAGGATAGATGATTCTCATGATAGCATGAGAATAGAGGTGTCAAACAGTATAAGGGAACGCATGAGGAAGCGTGGAACGAGATGACGAACAGAAGAATTAAAGTATCCAGTTTTCAGCCTGTTAGTCGACTCATAACAGTCATGAGTCGACTCATCAGGTTGAGTCGACTCATGACTATCATGAGTCGACTCATCGTTGGTTTTTGAGTTTTGTCCAGTTTTTGACGAGTCGACTCATCTCAGTCATGAGTCGACTCATCGATGGTTTCCTAGTTCGTTTGGGTTTCTGTTCACACGAATTCCTATTGGTTTTGGATATGGTTATTTACCAAATTGCCATCCATGTTTGTACACCTATATAAAGGATTGTTTTAGGGTTTCTAAAAAATCAGAGAGGTAATTAAGAGAGATTCTAATCATTGTATTAGGGTTTAGTGAGAATTGAGAGTTTGTTCTCGATTCTAGTGAGATTGTGAGAGAGGGATTGTAATCTTTTCATACTCATAATCTAGAGAAGGTACTTTCCTTCGTCATATACTGAATTGTGCTTGTGTTTCTGTCATCCTCTTCTTAACCCATCTTTGATAATTCCGCGATCAAAGGTGCTCACACGGCAACTCGTATCAGCACTAGCCAGAAGGTTTCTTAGAAGAAAAAAAGAAAAACCTGGTGTGCAGACTCAAGAAGAGCTTGTATGGCCTGAAACAAGCCCCAAGGCAGTGGTACAGAAAGTTTGACGGCTTCATGCACAAGGAAGGTTTCCAGAAGTGCAATGCCGACCACTGTTGCTACTTCAAAAGATATCAGTCCAGTTACATCATCCTACTGTTGTATGTTGATGATATGTTGGTTGCAGATGCAGATATGGAGGATATCAGGAGTTTGAAGCAGCAGCTGTCAAAGAAGTTTGACATGAAGGACTTGGGTCCAGCGAAGAAGATCCTTAGAATGCAAATCACGAGAGATAAGAAGAGAGGTCTCTTGCAGTTATCTCAGACGGAGTACATCAACCGTGTCTTGCAGAGATTCAACATGGGCGACGCTAAGCCAGTGAGCACACCCTTGGCTAGCCACTTTCGCCTACCGAAGGATCAGTCTTCTCAGTCAGAAGAAGAAAAAGAGAGTATGGCTAAGGTCCATTCGCCTCAACTATTGGAAGCTTGATGTACGCAATGGTCTGTACGAGACCAGACATTGGCCATGCAGTGGGAGTGGTCAGGCGGTTTATGTCGAATCCAGGAAAAGCTCATTGGGAAGCGGTCAAGTGGATTCTGAGATATCTACGATGCATCACACAGAAGTGTTTGCACTTTGGTAAGGGAGAGGTGGAAGTGCAAGGGTACGTAGATGCAGAATTTGGAGGTGAAGTCGATCACCGAAGAAGCACCACCGGCTATGTATTCACTGTTGGAACTACAGCTGTTAGTTGGATGTCACAGATACAGAAGATTGTCACTCTGTACACTACAGAAGCTGAGTATGTTGCAATGACTGAAGCCAGTAAAGAGATGATATGGCTTCAGAGTTTGTTAACAGAGCTGGGTTTCAATCAGGAGAGGAATGTCTTGCATAGCGATAGTCAGAATGCGATTCACTTGGCTAAGAATTCCGCATTTCATTCTAGAACGAAGCATATTGCGCTTCGGTACCACTTCATCAGATCCCTGTTGGAAGATGATGTGTTGAAACTGGAGAAGATTCCAGGAAATAAGAATCCAGCAGATATGTTAACAAAGATGGTGACCGTTCAGAAACTAGAGTTGTGCGCAACTTCAGTTGGCCTTCATGCATAGATGATGAGGGCGGAGCCACACAGGAGAAGGAGCTTGATGAGATAGCCCGCTGACGGCGGTTTGATCTCCAAGTGGGAGATTGTTAGTTTTGGGTGTAGACCAAACTCACCTCCGCATGCGAGCTCGCGATCGTCAGGCGAGCTCGGGGTCCAACGATTCGTGGCTGGCGACTTCTATGGCAGACGAAGTTGGGGAGGCGGAAATGATCTGCAGGCGAGTTCGCTGAAGCTAGCAAGCGAAATCATGGACCAGGCGACGTGTGGCGCGGTGTGCAGCGAGATTGTGCTCGCCCACAGCGAGTTTTGGCACCCTATTGCTGGCGACAGCCTGTCGCCAACCTGTCACTGAGTTTCCCTATAAAAGGAAAACCCCAGGGCCGAAACCCTAATCCCTCTCGCGATCTCAACTTCCTGGCAGCGGCAATCTTCTTCTTCTTCCTTTTTTTCAGCGTCTTTTCTCCAGAGCCCTAAGCTCAGATTTTGGGGGGACTAAAGAAGAAAAATTAAGAGAGAAAATTAAGAGGGTTATTTAAGAAGAGGGGATCTTACTGTAGCTACAGTAAAGATTAAGTTTATTGAGGAATCTCAAGTTTGAGATTCGCTCTTGAATTGTAATTTCTTGTTAGATTAATAAGAAATTTACTGTGTGGCTCCTGAGGACGTAGGCAGTTGCCGAACCTCGTTAAACTTGGTGTACTTTTCTCTATTCCGCGTTTTTGCTGTTTAGAGGTTTTCCGTAGCCCCGGTGGGTAGTATTCACAACACGTGGGACTAGCAATTAGCTGTTTCTTTTCGGTCCGTCCGTCGATTGAAGTATTCGTGAGCCAACAAAATTGAATTGAGGATGAAATAAGGAAAACTTCATGCATTTATGTGAAACGTCGTCTTTTTCGTTACGAACACAACAAGAAGCCCGTTGTCATCATTTCGCACTTGTTTTCTACTTTTTTTTCTTTGAGAAAATTGTGTCTAGGCCCCAAAATATTAAAGGGGACGTGAGTAGGCCCCTCTGTATATTTTTTTGGTGCCAAAGCCCCCAATACCCAACCTTCTTATGTTTCAGCCCTTTTTATGTTTCTCAAACCGCACAGAGAGGAAAAAAACGAAAACCCAAAACTATCATTTGCCCCTGTTCCCCCCAAAACCTAACTGTCTTCTCTCTCTCTCTCTCCCCCTCTTAACTCTCCGCAAACCTAGCTCATCTCGAGAACCCATTTTCAAAACCCAAATTCACTCAAGCGCCCAGGAAAGTACAAGAAGCCCGTTGCCGTCATTTCGTACTTGTTTTCTACGTTTTTTTTTCTTTTCTGTACCCTTGTTTAGTAGAGACCGACAGTCTAATTTCAAATAGTTAGGATCTTTCACAGCCACCTATTAGCCGAAGTGAACAGGGGCGTCCTCGGCAATCCCCTGAATCTGGATCAGTGACTATTCTTGGCTCAGTTTTCGTTAGGCCCTTAACATATCAACAGCTGGGTACCGTAATGGGCACGGCCGCACTCAGAAACAATGTTTCTAACCTAATTCTTCATCCTTTGGTAAAACCAATAAACATCCGGCATAGAACTGAGACATAAAAATAAACCCTCAACAAGCTGCAATTGACTGTTTCAGGATTTGATCAGTATATATTTGACAAGAAACTCATTTTCCAGAATACCAAAAATCGGGCAAAATCCTAAAATCCTAAAGCTCTCAGATATTTGACAATTTAAACTTCTGATGAAATATACAGCACATTCGAAAATTTAAGCTATACATATAAAAAATGGGTGAGCCCCACCTTTATATTTACATTCTATGACAAAACTGTAACTCTTAGGTACATAAGACAGTCAGGCTACAGTAATATAAATATATTATGGAAGGCCTGATGCATAAAATGAAGGCCCTCCATCCACTCTCCTCTCTCCTCTCTAGACCTTACATTTTCTTTTTCTTTTTTCTTTTGGAGGCAAAAAAAAAACAAAAAAACCAAAAAGTAAAATTTTTCTGCATCTAGCACTGATTTAACCTGCAACTTTAATATGTCATGACTGCCAGAAAATATTAGGGTCTTTACTGTACAATGAACGATCTTGGATCTCTAAATTAGCGACATGCCAATCAACCAATCGTGCCTGAAAGCATTTACAGATCACCAGTACCAGTGGAAATAACCACCATCCGCTCTCATCTCTGCCAAATCCCGAAAAATAAAGAAATCTAAATTAGTGCCAAAATCAACTGCCAAATCCCGAAAAATAAAGAAATCTAAATTAGTGCCAAAATCAACCATCCGTTCCTGATTCTCATTAATTTTTGGGCTATTTCAAATACACTTCTTGTACTCTGTTCAGAGTTAGATACTTTCCAAGAAATATTTCCACTATATCCCCACAAATGTTTTAAGAAATACTGAGTTAAAAAGTTACAGAGAAAAGCTACAGAGACCAGGAGCTGTGTTTGTGCTGATCAAATAGAACGGATGTGATAAATAGTTACATTCTCACAGTACAAAAGTCTGTATCTGCAAATGGACCAAGCATTAGGGGGATTATGTGACATTTATAAAGTTTAGGGAGGTTGTCTCAAAAAGAGCCAAATTTAGGTGTGCTTTATGAAACTTAAACATAATCTTCAGGTTATTTCAGATGCACTTTCTCATAATATGTTTTGAGGAGGATATTTTTCAAGAACATTTCCACAAGAACCTCATGTGAGTTTAAAATTTATGGGGAACACGAAATGTTTCTGCTAATAGAATAGAACAGGTGGATTAGTAACTATGGTCCATTGTACAAAGTGCCTATTTGCAAATAACACTTGATTTTTTGATAGGACAAGAAAGCAAGAAATCTACTTACGTTGAAAGATTCCAGGGTTGTAAGCTCTGGTGTTTTCTGGCAGATGATTTATAATGAACAAAGCCACAAATGAATGCCATGACCTGCAATATAGTTTCCGCATGCATGAGAATTTTTTTTTTGGCTAACTTCTCAAGAACAAAGAATTAATAAGAAACAAAAAGAATGGAGTACTTCTGTTCATCATAAAAACCAACCAAGTCAAAGACAAAACAACTTACAACATTAATCAAGGACGTAAGATTCCATAGAGCATACACACGTGCAAGGCCTGCTGATCTTCTTGGTCCGTGACTGAAAAGAGCATTTATTCCAGCAGGGAATGGCGATAGTATGCCCAAAGGAAGAATAAATAAAACCAAGAAAACATCCACCAACGAAAAGGAATAAAGCTGAAGCAAAGTAAGCAGAACTAAACTAAAATCGCCCAGGAGCAATATTGAGATAAACAATCCGACAAGATCCTGCAGGAGCAAATAATATACAGGGATCAACAACTTATGTTATCTATACAAATTAGTCTTTTTATTTGCATAATTTGAAAAGTATTTGCTTACAAATACTGCAAAAATTAAATTAAACGGAACTGGAGATAAGTGATGCACCTGGTGTCCAACAGGTTTTGTATTATACACGACAAATGATAATGGGTAGAGTATATCTTTTTTATCTTTAAGCGTCTGCAAGTTATAAGGATCCAGCGTACCACCATTTATTCTTCTACGCATCAAAAGGGGCTCCCTAACATTCAAATGGTCCGCTTGGTTAACTCCATGAAAATTGTTAAATCTACAGAAAATGAAAATGACCATTAGGCAGTATCTCTAGATTTAAATAAATCCATCACAATGATCATCATCATCATTCCAATAAAGCACTTGAGATTAAACATCAACCTCAATGGTGGTTCAGTTTTTACAGTTCTTGCAACACGGTCAACTGCTGCAGCCTCAGGTCCATCTTCTGCAGCATATACTACAAGACCAAGCTGGAAATAACCAGATGCGGTGGCCTGAAACCATGCAAGTTCAACCAAAATACCATGCATACTTAGGAAAGGATTTTCATGAGTTTCAAGCCAGCGGATAATGGGCAGAAGTGTTTTCTTTAGGTGCCCCCGACGAACAATACGCAATTGTGCATTCAGTCCAGCAACAAGTCTATACCATATGGTTGGGGGTACTGACTGCAAGTAATAAGCAAAAACAAAAAAAAAAGATTTATATATGCAAATTCCAACAATCAAAACACAGGAGAGATCTTAAGGTGTGTGAAGAACCAACCTGACTCATGAGGCTTGTGAGCACATTATCACTATGAAGCGTAAACGGAGACATGTAACTTCCATCACCTCCAAAGATTAAACACATGGGAAACCTTTGATGTAGACGGGGAGGAAGATCAGCTCGTTTTTCATCTCCACCCAAATAGAAGTCTACATAGCCCAACATTAAATCTGGTGTTGCAGCCACCTGTTTGGACACAATATGGAATAAAATTTAGAATGTTGCTTCTACTTTGCATAATAAGAACAAAAACAGGTGAAAAGCAAGGGTTATTTCACAAAACCCACCTGGACTTCCTGTGTGTGTTTGGAGGTGGTGGTCTTTTTCTTTTTCTTTTCTCCTTATTTTTATTTGTGGTAATTTTATTTTATTTGTGGTGGTGGGGGTGGTTTTATTTTTTTGTTTTTTTTTTTGTTTTTTTTTTTGGGGGGGGGGGGGGGCCGCATAAGCCCTCCACAATTTGGGTGCCTCATAATCCCCTGAAACTTTTCACCGACCCGCTACCTCTATTTGGTAAAAAAACTAAAAATATCCATTAGCAAGAACGAATCCCAATTTGGTCGGCTTATTTTTTTGTTTTTTTGGTGGTGGTGGGTTTTTTTTTGTTGTGTGTGTGGTGGTCGGGTGGGGGGCATAACCCCTAACTTGTGTGCCTCATAATCCCCCTGAACTTTTGAACTTTTCACAGGACCCCTTACCTCTATTTGGTAAAAAAGCAAAAATATCGCATTAGCAAGAAGAATCCAAATCTTGGTCCACTTGTCATTTTAGGCAACATAGACCCCTCCCTAAATTTAAGTCTAAACTTCAGATAGTTTTGAGAGCACCCAAAGGTTTTGTTTTGTTTTTTTGTTTTTTGTTTTGTTTTTTTTTTGTTTTGTTTTTTTTTTTTGTTTTTTTTTTTTTTTTGGAGGAGGGGGGGAGGTGGCGAGGGGTGGGCGTTATGTTATATTAAAAGTTCAGAGGGTTTTCTGAGAAACCCACGCGAAGTTAGTGGGTTTTTGTGATTATTAACCCAGAAAATAATTACTTCATTAATGCTAACAATCATTAGGAGAAACCCTCTTTGTTTTTTCTCTTTTATTTTTTATCTTAATCTCAATTTTTTTTTGGGGGGGGGGGGGTGTTGGGGTTGTACTCGCAATCTCCCCTAACTTTTACACCAGACCCTTACCTCTATTTAGTAGACATAACTACAATGTGGCTTCAGTGAAAAAAATACCCTAAGCATGTACACGCTCCCCCCTAATATTGGGATTTTTTCTGTCACTGACATTTTACGTTTCCTCCTTAAACCACGGTAGGCGGCGCTGGTGAAAGAACTCCTGCTGAGAGAAGTCCAACTTCTGGGCCCCAAACTCGCGCAGGACAGTGGAGTGTGGGAGGTGATATAAAAGAAGTGCAAGAGATTTATGAGAACCCGCCAGTTTGGGAGGAGGGGGGGGGGGGGGGTTGTGAAATTGACCCAAAAAATAACTCAATTATGCCAACAATCATTAAGAACAAGTGGTACATACAGAACAACACAACAACCAATTAATATGACAGCTTTAAGCATGGTGAAAAGGAGAAAACATTAAAAGGTATGAACATAAACACTGCAATTGGATGGTATAGATAACCCGATAATACCTTCAGCCCTTCATACAGAGCACGTGAACGGCAAGATCGAAGACATGCATGATCATACTCTGAACGGACAAATTCACGCAGTCTTTGTAGTTTCATTCTCCTGCGCCATTGCTGCCATGACCATGCAAAGGGATATGCAAGAATAAATAGGACGCTATATATTGATCCCTCCCACCATTGATAAGAAGCCAAGGCATTAAGCTCATCAACAAATCTATTAAATGCATCCTCGTACCTGCAAGTAAAAAGATTCTACACATCAGTTAAACCAGGGCATAAACTAATTCCAGAAAAGCAATAGCTCTTTCAGGACAAAATGGAATAGGAGATCCATACAATAAACACCAAGGAAAATGGAAAAGAAAAAGAAAAAACTTACACGATCTCCATTACTTGTTCTGGTGGAGAGTGTGGAAGATGCCATGGTTCACTAAAAGTATTTGGACCCATGAAATACATTCTATGCACATGGTTTTGTGACTCCTCCACCCTATTAGTTTCCATGACCTGTATGTAACATCACAGGATGAACAAAATTTCATCTGACAGTTTTTAAATGCAACGATAATCAAATACAACAAATCGACTAATGCAGATACCTCGTTCAAGGACTCGAGAAAGGGGAATGAGTGATCAATCTGAGACCCGTGCTGAGTTGGAGCAGGTCCAGGTAATTCATCAGTACCAACAAATTTCATCCTTGCGACGCTCAATACTAGGGCTAATAGGACAAGAAGACAGAAAAGAACAAGACCAAATAACCAAGGTCCACCAAAAGTATATATTAACTCTTCCAGGGCTGTATAACAGTGTGGCATATGATATCTATCAGATATGCACTTGTATGGACAAGGAGTTTCTGCAACACCACCTGTTAAAAAAATCAGTAAAAGCTTATCAAGTCTACGACATAAGCAACAATCCAGCATAGGCATGAAATAAATAAAAGGAGTATATTATAAATTTTAAGGGAGCAAATGTGCAAAAACAGATAGGAATGCTGATTCGTGATGGTAATATTTACCATTAAGAACAATAAAATGTACTAAAGGAATCTGGATGACAATGCGCATCAGGAATCAAGATACTGTAGTGCTTTCTAATGAACATTAGCATTTATGCCTCTGGATTTTATGCAAGGAGAAAGAAGTACCTCGAACACTAAGATATATGGCACGCCGAGGAAGCCCATTCGAGGGGCATGGACGACAAAGGGAACCATCGGATCCACTGACATTCTTGAAACTTCCCAAAGGACATTCCTGCAATAATCAATAAATTTACACTGCAGTTACTCAACATGATAAGTGTTGAAAGGCCATACGAAGAGAAACTATAAATAAGACAATAATAAAGGAAAGGTATGATTCATGCGTCCAGAGTTTGGCTATGCTGGTATGTTGATCGTTCAGCAAATAGAATCTTCTCAAATCAACCTTACTGAATATTTTATAATTAATTTATATGAACTTAAAAAGTTAAATTAGAGGGATACCTTACAGAAAGTCCCATAGAGCCCTTTTGGGCAATCTTTTCCGGTGATGGTCCCACTTTCCCCTGCAAAACCTTGACCTCGGCTAATTCCTCCTCTATTAAAGAGAAAGACATATTGTAGAAAATCAGATATATGATAGATATCACCAAAATTTTACTAGTTAACAGTGAAAGGGCAGATAAATTTAACTAACATGTATTTTTTGACCATTTCATTAAAAAATATTTATTAAAGGAAACCATTGAATAAATCATAAGCAAATAATTAATTTCCAACTGAAAGAACGGACTAACTTTGAAGATAACTACTGCAGAAACCTATGAAGTATTGATCCTTAGAGCGGTTGAAAAGAAATTAAGGTCTGAGCATTACTTTCCAGTCAAAATATGAAAAATATTCTTGCGCTGGAAAAATGATGACCAGTGTAGGTAAAAAATTATATGACAAACGAGGATAATTTTGGTCATTAAAATTGTTCTCTTTTGGAAATTAGTAACAATTGGTTCCATGTGTTTTATGTTTCATTAGTTGTCTTCTTCAATATTAATTTACTTCTCTTGAGTAACACCGGATGCTTATCATGGTGAAAGTAAGTATAAAAGTACTATAAACTATAACCCCGTGATGCTTGCCATGTGTTTTCTGGATAAACTTGATTATTGTTCCATGAGATTTTGGCATTTTTTGGGTGATGTAAATGGTAACTGCTTCGCAGAAGTAGATGAGAAAGAAAAGAAATAACTGTCTGAATAACTTCAATGACTGTGTTGCCATTTGCTACTTAATTACGTGATTCATTGCAATATAAGTCTTCATGATCTCTGCGTTAAAAACTATATCTAGTGGCTATAATATGGAAGTAGCATATGTGTGTGTGTGTGTGTACATATATGGGATGCACGTACCGTGCACATGGTCAAATATGTTAATTATTATTTCTTTTGAGTTTATATCTTCACTATAACTGCATGTTAGACATAATTGTTTTATACTTGATCTTTTGTGAATAAAAAAAATGAGAACATTAATCAAAATGAAAAAATTAAATATAGGAGAAAGTTTTTTTTTTGAGTGTTTACATATAATAATACATAAATTTAAGAGTAAAATGAGTAGAAAGAATCTATTGAATCCATGTGAATCAGGATTGATAATCGGTTGAGTGATTCCTAGTTGTTATTGTAGACACCACCTCAGTTAATTGTTTTAATTGATACACTCGCTCACACACATGTAGGTTTATTATATCAGTCCCTTAAATCATTCGTATTTGTCATTAGTCCCTCAGATCTTCATATTTTAATATTAGTCCCTCAAAATGCAGAAATATATTGATATTAGTCCCTGTAATTAATTAGGATTATAAATGATGGGGAATAACCTGTTATGTCTAACGTTTTTAAGGAAATTAAAAATTATCCCCTCATTCCTAATACCCAAACTCCCATACCCCTTTTAAGCTTAAGAAGCCCACTAAAGACCCAAACCGAATCCTTTTCACAACCCATCAACAAACAGTGAATCCATCTTCTTCAACTGCTCTTTTTATTTTTGGAGGCTATAAAAGTCCATTGGAACTCCTCCACTGAGAGAGAGAGAGAGAGAGAGAGAGAGAGATGGTTTGGTGGATGAATCAAATGGATGGAGGGTATTTTGGCAGCTAAATAGCCATTGTTATTCTAAACAGAGATGGTTTGGTGGATGAATCAAATGGATGGAGGGTATTATGACAGCTAAATAGCTAAACCTAACCATCATTAAGGATTTTGAACAATAAACATAATAAAGAGGCTAATGTATACATATTTTTACAATTTGAGGAATTAGTATCAAAATATGAAGATTTGAGGAACTAATATCAAAATACTAATAATTTGATGGTCTGATATCTAAAAAACCCTTGTATGTATTGATATGATTATTAATGTATATAATTTATGAATAAATAGAATACGTGTTTGCTCCTGTTGCAAAAGTTATTTTGCAGATGATCGTAAATGAGTTCTAAATTCTAATGTTGTTCCTTCTTGAGCTTGATTCATCAAATTTCATGACATTTTCCTATCCTTCAGATCCACCCTAATTTGACATAATTTTGTGAACTTCCTATGTTCCTTTTGTAAATCAATGAAATTTCGGGGGTCTTTTTTAAGTTTCAGGTTATTTCTTCTATAAATTTTTTAAATTTCTAGAGTCTTATAAAATTAGGGAATTTTCCGTAAAATTTTGAAATGTTTGTAATTCTTTGATTTTTCTGCAAATTTTGTAAAATTGAGGAACTTTTAGGCGAAATTTTTAATATTTTGACGTCTTTGGGTTTACGTAAGTTCTAGGAATGTTTCGCAAAATATACGAAGTCTGGTTGTTCTACTAATTTTATAAGTTCTAGGACCTTTTTGAAAAATATTTTGAAGTCTTCTGGTTGTTCTACTAATTTTATAAGTTGATTTTTTTGAAAAGTCTTTAAATTATGGAAATGATTTAGCTTGGTTAATGACGCATAATTAACATTTATCTCCTTAATTATGAAGATAATTTTGGAGGTGAGAATATTTAGTGATATAATATAATTATCTTTATCTTTATTTTTAAATTTAAATATAAGGAAACAAATGATAAGATAAAGAGTTCTTTTTTTTTACTTGTTAGGTAATTCTTTAGATGGTCGTAATTTTAAATATTTATACATTTTATCTAGTAAATAAATTTTTTAAGTTCTGATAATTTCTTGAGAATGGTTGAACGTAGAGATTTAAAAATTATCTATACCTCTTATTTTATTAAATATATTTCAATCAATTAGAACATGTTCACAATGAAATCATATTAAAGATATTTCTATCCATTAGGATAACTTGAAATGTAAGGAATTCTTTTAGATTTGTGTGCAAATTTTATAAAATCTAGGATTTTTCTGTAAAATAATCGATATGTTGAAATTTTTGGGTTTTGGCAAAATAGACCATTTCTGAAAGTCTTTTAGGTATTTCTACTAATTTTGTAGGTTGACTTTTTTTAAAATCTTCAAATTATGTCTTTGGGTATTTCTACAAGTTGTGCAAATTTTGGATTTTGGATTTTGAATATTTTCTAGTTTGATCACTCACGCAAAATTAGCACTTTTCTCCTTCATGAAATAATTTAGGGAGCAAGAATATTTCATAATATCACCTATTATCTTTATTTTTAAATTTAGTATAAAGATTAAGAATTCTATTTTTTTACTTGTTAGGCACCAAAATCAAACCTTTAGATTGTCAAAATTTTAATTCTTTATCGGTTTTCTCTAGTAAATAAATTTTCTATGTTTTAAGAATTTCTATTTTATAATTTCTAGAGTAGTGGCTTAACGTAGAGGTTGAACAATTATCTATAACTTAATATAATTTTTAGCATACTTAAATCAGATCTAAGCTTATATACATATTAATTAGGATGACAAACGGTAATTGAAGTTTATACCTATTAACTAAAATTAATTAGGATAGGATATATGAGAATAATGTAATATCTAAAATGTAAATTTTGTAAGTTTAAGATTTTCTATTTTAAAATTTAGAGGAGTGGCTGAACGTAGAGGGTGAACAATTATCCATAACTTAATATAATTTTTAAAATACTTAAATCAAATCTGAGCTTCTATACATATTAATTAGGATGACACAGGATAACTAAAGCGTATACCTATTAATTAAATTAATTAGGATAGGATATATGAGAATAATGTATCTAAAATGGTTAACAGAATCTTTGTTTATGAAAAGTCCCAATTTTAAAGGAAGTATGATGATTCATGAATTAGACTATTCCAATTGATGATCTGCTTCATTCATCGTGGTCTAAATGTCTTAGAACATCTATAAAATAAAAATCATGATAATGAAATACTACTAACATATTTTTCATTGTCTCTTTAGTTATGTTGTTGTAAAATCGTTAATTTTACAATCACTTGACGCATGAGTACTGCAACCTAATATGGCTAATGTTTTATTTGTATACAATCCAAAACATATAAACCAAAATGAACAAAGTGGATCAATTAATTTGATAGCATATAATGTAGTTTTGAACGCGCTATCTTAGATTGAATCTTAAGTGCCACCTTATGAACGCTTTTCCCTATATATATATATAGGCTTGTTGTCGACCAACTTTTTTGTCCATTGATTTTACTTTGAGATTTGTGCTAACATGTGATATAAATTAATGCACACATCTCAAAGATAACATTCATCTCTATCACAGCTCAAAATGAACTCAAAGGCTAAAAAGGTTGGTAGATAGGAGTTTCTATGAACTTAAGTTTATAGGAGCTTTTTCGTTTTGATTAACTTTCTCTTTTTTTTCTATTCACAAAACATCAAGCTATAAAACAATTATGTCCACAATGCAGTTATAGTGAAGATATAAACTCAAAAGAAATAATTAAAATATTTGACCATAGTGGCACCGCGCGTGCATCTCCTCTCTCGTTCTCTCTCTCTTCTCTCTCCTCGCTCTCTTCTCTCTCTCTCTCTAATTATATATATATATATATATGATATATATAAAATATATATATATATATATATATATATTATAATATATATATATATATTTCATGTTTCTTTTATTTTCTCCTTTTTTCACTTGTCTCAGACATAAAGATTTTCTGAAAATACAGAGTGCATGAAGGCTGTCTTTAACGAAAGCTATCTTTAACATTTCATAATTTGATAGGTTGAACAATGGTCTAAGCTTCAGTTTTGATTAAAACTTAAAAGGTATGTCTATACAGTCCAGTGAATCATCCTTGAGGAAAATCATTCGCTGTTGTAAAACAAACCTAGAATTGATTTAAGAATCAAGCTCATGCGGCTAATTGTATGACCACGCCTAATGCACCCTTATTTCATAGGATTAATGCTTGATATTTAAACCCAAATGTAGAAGCCGTGACTTCCTTGGACAATTGGACCCCTGATTTTACCCATTGTGAATTATATACATTATTATGAGGGGTAGTCTAATATAGATTACTAAATTTAATTAGTTCTTTTTTTTTAGTTTATGACCATGAGATGTTTGATATTGCTAAATATCTGATAATATTCCCTAGGATTTCTGGAGGCACGAGAGAAGCGTCGTCTGTGGACTTTTGGATTATAGTTTGGTATTTTGTATATGGTGAAGCATTGTGTATTTTTCATCTAAAATTATATTATGTATATATGGATTTGTTCCATGGATGGCTATGTCATTTTAGATGATTTTGCTCAAGTATCTATTGCTGGTTGAGTGTTTATGTGTAGGCACAAGTATTCGGTTCATTTCTCTAATGACAATCATGTCTTTTACATATAGTATTAGGTTGAGATGCATACGTAGTTTGAGATTCATTATTAGGTTGTCTTTCGCATTTTAGTATAAATTATTTGACTATTTGAACCTTATTCATTTATATTAAACATATGAATCTAACGTTAATAATAGGTATATGTAGGAAAAATAAGTAAGTCGCATTGAGCTCAATGTGCTGAGGTTTTTATTTTAGCCCTAAAAGCCTAAATTTGAGACTCACTATCATGACCACATGCTTAATAATTGTGGGGTTTGTCATATTAACTAAAGTATTGAAGTGTTGGCCGCATTGAGATGTGGTCCGCTTACTTCTCCAACTGCATGAAATATTGCCTTATGACTCGTCGCATTAAAAAAATGTATACAATGACTTGGTGATATTTCTCTTGCATATAAATTTGTTCATATCACCATTGATTTATGATGATTTACATCTTTAGTTTCTGCAAAACAGTGTATAATATGTGAATTCATCCACTTATTGAGTTGTGAACTCAGTGTGTGTTTTTCAGAGACTCGAGATTAGGTAGAATTGATGGCTTTGTGATTCTTAGGAGGAAGCGAGGAATAAATCTATATATTACCAATTTCTATTAGGTCGAGGTTAAATAAAGACTTCGATGTTTAATTGATATTTGGAAGCTTATGTAGTAATAAGATTTTCTCCTTTAGGTTGAATTGTGTTTCAAGTTGAGGAATATTTACGTATCTCTTTTTATAGAGGATAATTGTTAGTTTTAATTGATATGACGAGATTTATTTGGTGGTAATCAAGTAAATGTATATTCTTGGAGATTAAAGTGAGCAGGTTAGTCCAACTTCAATTTCCTTTCGAGGTCAGGGAATTGGGGTCGTGACAGGAATAACCCTATTTCTAGCTGCTTCATCACTTGTGATCTACCATTGTTGAGCAAAAAAACTTAAACTTCATAATGTTACAAATAATCTTTTGCCATTTTCTCAAAGCTAGCGCTGTTCTTAACCTATTCCTGAAGTTCATACGGAAACGATTAACATTAACATTTGTGTCATCTAGCAACCAAAAGCAGTTCAATGTATGCATATTTGTGAGTCCAATTAATAAAAATAAAATAAGCTTGCTGAATTTAAGAGGCAAGGGTTCATAGTTTCAAAAATATGTGAGTTTAATGTACTAAATTGCATGTCTTGACACGGAAGTATTGAAACTGTAAACATACAGTGTTAATTTTAGAACAATGGGTCTACAAATTATGTCATCCAACATTTCCTTTTGGTTCTCATGGAAGAACTTCAGAATGTGCAGGTAGCTTAATAGGTTTTTACTAATACTTTTGGCATTAAAATAAATACATAAATAAAAAAGGAGAAAATAATCCAAACCTTGAACTTATATTTCCAGTAACACTTGCAATTGGATAATACTCATCCCCCGTTGGAATGTCAGACCAATGGAAGTGAATCCTTCCCCCTCCTCCACCGCCACTGCTAAAACTACCAAGACCACCAACACTTGAAATAACAGATCCCCTTCCTACCATGAGTGTGTGCAAAAATAAAAGAATAGTACCCCCAGATCCACCACCAGGACCTCCATTCATACTAGCATAATTAACCCATCTATCTGTTTCACCAGAACTTTCTCCATCGGCTTTCACTGAGCCATAAACTGATAAACTTGTTAAGGAATGCTCCATAGAACCCATTACTGCAGAAGACAAGGTCAGGTGTAGAAGTTATTCAGATCAGAACGAAGACTTGATAGTGGCATGAAAAAGAAGATAGTAATAGCAATTACACATGGAGAAGGATCTAAATCGAGTAGAAAAGAAAAGACTCCGAAAATAACCAAAGTAGCATGATTAAATGCAACAGAAAAGCAAGAGTGCAAAGACACAAACACTAGTGGTTTTAATTAGAAATCCATAGACAAACTGACAAAGACCAATATAAGCACTGTAACGCATAGACTCCAAGCATCAAATACTTGGAAAATCCATGGATCCAATTTATAGAGCATATTACATTTATAAGCATCGCCTACTCAGAAGACAATAGTCCTATAAAAACTCTATATTCCCCTTAAATCTCTTTTTTTTGTCTAAAACATACATTCCAATCTTTTTCCAACAAAAATATAGGGAAAATTACCTATAATACCCCCACCAGCAGTTGAAGATGTCATGCTGCGATTACCGCTGCCGCTGCCAGGCAAACACGGCAAAGCAGCACTTCCATATGTGATGCCACCTTTGACATAAGTTCCATTGAAAAAACTATCTCCACCTCTACCTCCATGCCCTCCACCACCACTAATGCCATTGCTTAAAAGGTTTCCTCTACCTACCCCATCTGTGCAGCCTGCAAACAATTTCATTTTTTTAACAATTGTTCATCACTGTATATAGAACCAGCAAAGAAAGACCACTCATAAAGTGAAAGCACAAAACAAATGTTCTTTCAGACAGAGCTATGAGAGAGAAATTATCAGATGTTACCTAAAGCAGACGCACTAATTGTGCCAGATGAGTACACGACAACAGTTCTTGCCCTGTGAAAATGAATCACAGTTCCTCGTACAAGCCCTGCAATACCTATGTCCTCAACACGACAAATCTGCACAAGCAGGATAAACAAAGCAAATTTAGAGAGAATAGTATTTATTAAATGGTGGTTAGATCTCCTCAATAAAGATCTTGGCATATTAAATGTACATACATACATATATATAATGATCGAAAACCATATTTTCATGATTAAACTATTCAACATTTGAAAGAAACAGTACAGATGCACCTGAAGTGTGAAAGACAGTGTAGAGTTCACATTACAATCTTCAGGTGGATGAATTAACTCAACAGGACAATCTTGAAGTTCACAATTAAGCTTAGGGGCCCTAATAAAGAAAAGTAAAGCATTTGCAATCAGTACATGCAGCAGTAGGAAAGAAGAATATATAAAATGCAAATGTTTTCTTATATCCATATTTCACATTTCACGCTTACATATCATCCTTTGTTGCATTTATGAGTGGACCACGTAAAACGGATCCAGGTCCAACCTACAAAAGCCGAAAGCGTTTAGAACACAAACAAACAAGCACAACCACCAAATTCCAGAGAAATATCACCAATGAATTCATTTACTAAACTCTAGATCAACCGGCGCTGAGAAAGAAAGAAAAAAAAAAGTAATTGAGAACAGCTAACTCCACATCACAGTAAAGACATGACGGAAATCATTAAACAACTATAACAGGATTATTTGTACCAAATTAACAAAGAAATATGATGACAGCAATTTACAAGCCATAATTTAAAGGATGGACAGTACGTGAAAGACAAAAAGGTTTGAGGACTTGAGGTCGAACAAATTAAATTCCAACATATTGGTCATGTTGAGACGAGAAGTTTGGATGCTTTTGGCTTTAATAAGGGTTTAATCAGAATATGAAGGAGATAAGGCATAAAAAGACCGACACAAGTTTTTCATCTGCTCTCCAAGGACTAGTGTGCATAGCTTAAGTGGATGCCTTATGCAGGGTCCATGCAAAGTGGAACCTTTTTACAAAAGGTTTAGAACCCACTAATTCACTCCTTTTATAACCTCACAACTCCCCCCAACCTCCAACACCCGGCCCCCACCCCTCTCAAAAAAAAAAGAAGGAAATAAAAGACCAACTGCATATCCAGTACTAGGATGTCCACTATCTGCACTCAAACAGTAGGACAATGACCAGCTTAAGATCAATGACAGGGAAATATCTAAAGAAGTATCAAAGGAAAATGTTCAGATTTAGCAGGACAAGATAGTAGAATTTATCCAATAAAGAGCATGTTCTTTTCCAATATCCTATAAAAGAGTAAGGAGAACGACAATCTTTTTCTCCAGAAAACACACAGCAGCACCTTAAATAGAGATTTCTTTTACTATGTGAAAGTATTAAAAAATGGTGCTCGTAGCTCACATAAAAAAGATAAAGCCAATGATTGATTCTCTTCAATTAAAAGGTCTCTTAAATTAAAACACTCTTCTTCTTCAACGATGACCATGTACAGGACATGCACCACCACTATAGAAGCGTAAGCATGAACTAATCTAAGAAAGGGATAGCTTCACTTACATTGACACTGTAGAAAAGGGACAAGATCAGTCGTTGTGCTTCAATTATATCCCCTGGTCCAGTTAAATTTAGGAGACCTTGTCCATGAACTCCAAGGTTAGCGTTAGAGCTTATAACAGAAGATTCCTGAGATAGTATAAGACGAAATTCATAATATTAAGAGCATCAATAAGAAATAGGCAGTAAATTGACAAGCTAACTTTAGTGGGGTACCCGCAGAACAATCAAATTGCTGGCCTCAAGTAATGATGTCGCGACATCCCCAGACCCATCAATAGTCACTTTAGAATTCCACATCAAAAACATCTTTACCGACATCCGCAGGGCGCCAAATACCTAGACTTATAACCAGGACCATCAAATAAAACAAGATGCTGCTATATGCATAAAAATATATGAGCAATATGCCCAAAACAGAATGTAATGAAGGTTTAATAGAATAAAATGATGAAATTTCACAAGTGAATTAGAAGGCATAAAATAACTTTGTGTACAAGGCTTGCAAGTATATATACACACTGTGACTGGTGCACATTAAGAAGAAATATAATGCTCAAAATAATGAAAATCAATTCATGTTTAACTGATGTAGTAACCAAATTTAATGTTTGAAGAGGTTGGATCTTTTTATACACAGGAAATCATCAGAAAGCTGACATAGTTAACATTTGCCACAGCATGCTTCATAAGATGCATATGTCAATATAAACAAGCATGACAACATCCTGACGCAATGTCATAGACATACTATGACTGAGCAAATTGAAAAGTAACATAATGCACAAGGTAATGGAAAATAATTCATGTTCAACTGAAGTAGTAACCAAATTTAGTGTTTAGAGAGGCTGGATTTTTTTTTATACACGGGAAATCATCAATAAACTCATATAGTTGGCATTTGATACCAGAATGATTAAACGAGATGCATATGAAACTCTAAACAAGAATTACAACATTCTGATGCAATGTTATGTATCCGGGAACAATTTGCATCAACAGGAAGAAAAAACAGTTTATATTCAGTTTGCAGAAAGAAAAATATGCATATGCAATTATGCCCAGAAAAGGAATTCATCTTATGCTGGTAGTGCATTTGTGTCAAGTGAAATCTTTCTGAAACTAACAAATTAAAGAGAAAGAAGTCCCCTCCCACACACTAAAACAAATAAACTACCTAAGTCACATGTAAAGGCACACTCTAGACAAGAAAACAGGTAGCAAATTCCACCTTGATGATTGAGTCGCTCATTAGAAGTTCTTCAGCCATAAGCTCAAACTCCGAGTAGGGATAATGGAAAAGACCAAAAGTCATCACGCCACCACATGACAGACTGAGCTGGCCTTGAACCTGGATGTAGCAAAGAAAAGTTACTCATAGACAGTTAGATGGAACATTATTCTCCAAGAAATAATTATTGCTGATGTCCTTTTGCAAATTATTATGTAAAAATGCATAACTACAGGACTCACAATAAAAATGGTAGAAAAACAGCCTACGAACCTAGTTATAGCACTCGCTTTTACAAATTGAGGGGTAACAAAGGGAAAGTATCAATGGAGATGAGGATTTTTCTCATTTCAGGTTTGAAGGGATTTTGGGTTGAGTATGAGGTACTGAATGAAAACCATGGAAAATATTCACTGGAACCTTCTACTCCAGCTTTAAAGAGTGTCAATAAATATATTATAACAACTCTCCCCCTCCCCTCCCCCGGGCCCCCACCCAAAACACACACGCCCAATCACCATTGCCTATAAGTTCCTTCTCAAGCTTCTTACCAGAAGAAAATATCCCAGGTATAGACCATTTCGAAGCAATAAGTGACAAGGTCCTAATTAAAGGTAAAAGATAACGTATCTATAAAACATTTCATAACCAAAGACTAGACTCTCACACAATTATCAAATGCAATAATGTAGCCTAGTTTTCAGCACACAAGTATGAAGACTTAAAGATAATGGAGAACTTACAATATGAATGTACGGTACCTACAAATGCCTGGGACATTTTGACTGTTTCTGCCTCACAGTGGCATGCATTGTTATGGATGCTTTATAGCAATCACTTGACATATCTAATAATTTTCTGCTATGCAAGCTGAAAATTTAGATTATGAGAAAAGTTTCTTAAGCCACTCCTCTTGGAAGTATCAGCTTTTGTAGTAATACTAAACTATTCACCACTAGTAATGCTATTTCAGCATATTTTGATAAGCAACAGAAAAAAGGGTAAACATGAAAGAATATGATAACCCTGAAGAAAAATGAAGCTAAATACTTAAGAGCACCAACTACCTGCACGCGACTCCACAACAAAGGAACAACAACTTTGCCAGAATTCTTCACAATAACATTTGTCCAAAGTGGTTGATAAGGGAACTCTAAAAGAAGAGTATCAGTTAGTGTTGACATGTTCTGGTTGTCAACAATAAGACTACGAGGGACTGCATCAAAAAGAGTCCCAGCAGCACCATTATTCTCTGGGCAGCCAAGGCTTCTACCTCCTGCAACCAGGGACAAAAGAGTTTATTGCATTGCAAGAGTTAAGCTGCAGACAAAAGAAAAATAGGGAGAGTAAAAACATGAGGTACATAGTATATCAGATACTGATAATAATTCACAGCAGCCAACGGATTATAAGAGTGATAAGCAGTGCTAATAGGGTTGCAAGGTCAAAATAGTCACACAAAAAGAAAGAACATGTACAGAGACAAGGTGCACAAATCTAACAAGATGCACAAAACTATCTCAGGAATAATAACAGAGCCTACTTGAAACAAAATCTCCCAGTGCAAAAGAAAATGAGGCATCAACATTTCAGGCCTAAGCCAAGACCTATCTGTCCTTTGTAGGTGTTGTGTTGCACAAACATTGGCTCCCAGTACCCAAACAATAGAAGAAAGTAGGCTTCAGTGCAAGGATCAACTTCTTCTTCGATCAGTGAGTTTATGGTGTATTTGGAACATGAATTGGTTTTCATCTTGAATGCTAAACAGCTCCAAAGTGGTTGATGGAGAAAGAGGGGCTTACGCCGCTTACCTGTGCTCATGTGGTTGAGCGAAGAGACTCAACTCGAGAAAGGTGAAACAAAGCGTTGAGGCTCATTAGAGCTGTAATTCTCATATTCTGAGATTTATACAAGCAGGTTTAGGTTTGGGTTTAGGCCTCAATTGAGCTTTAAACCCGAACATGACCTCAAAACAAATCTTAACCCAAAATCCGATATGACACCATTCCAACCTTTTTTAGGCACCAAAATAGCATCTAATAAATTGAGAAAATCCCAACATGCAGGCAGATGTCAGATAAACCCAGATATATATGGGTTGATTTTTCAAAATGATAAAAGACAAATCTCTAAATCCAGATATATGGGGGATAATTTTTCAAAATGATAAAAGACAAATCTCTTCGTTGCGGCAAGCCCCATAAACTGATATGTCAGATGGCATATCAACCGATATTTCAGACACTGCTTACAATAGTTGGGTTTTTGCCTCAGCCATAAACTAGTTGGGTCAGCTTAGACCCAATGAAGACCTGACCGACCAAACCCCATTTCTACCTACCATACTTGATAATATCACCTTGGCATTCAAATTCAGTCCAAACCCAAGTTCATGATAAAACATATATACCTTCATTTGCACCTCCATGCAAAATGTTTTTGGCAGACTCATAGAATAATAAAAACCCAACATTGAGTCACAGGTAGCTTATAACAATAATAAAAACCCAACATTGAGTCACAGGTAGCTTATAACAATAATAAAAACCCAACATTGAGTCACAGGTAGCTTATAACAATAAGATCAGTTATGAGTCAAACAAATATAGTAATAGTGGTTATTCATTACACTCTAGAAAAAGCAAGAAGACTTTCTATTATCTTCTCAGGACATACAACACAAACTAGGTGTTGGCCAACATAAAGCGGAGTAACTGATTTTAATGTGCTGACCAAAAAAAAAATTTATTGTCAGATATATGATAATGCTGGATATCGACATAAGATACAGCTCCAAACTGATAGATACAGGAAACTAATAAATTATCTCATAAAAGTAGCGGTGCTAGCAGATTAACATGTCACAGTGAATTAAAAAGAAGTAATACAGCTAAGGCAACTAACATGTAAACAAATGTTAAATACCAAATGTGTGGCAAACAGGATACTCTAGTGCTTACCATTAACATAAATTTTCGGATTGTCATGCCTGCTGAAAATGTTAATAGAAACCCGTCCTCCTCCTCCACCTGCCAAACCACTACCTCCTACAGCACTGATATTCCCACTTCCTTTCCTGTGACAATTAACAAGTTGGACAAAACATATTACATCTACCCTAAACAAAACAAAATAAAATAAAATAAAATAAAATAAAATAAAAAGGAAAGGAAAGGAAAAAACTGTGAGGAAAAAGAACAAAGGCTTGCATGATATTTGGGGAAACAGACGTTTAAATATGAACAACAGTGTACCAAGATCTGTAACTGCACACATCATTAACAAGAAGTGATGTGATGTTAAACAAGACCTCCAGCATAAATATAAAGAAAACAAATACTGTTTTCCATAGTCTGTTTTAGCAACCTTTTGATTAATTCCAGATGTTTTAATAATTTAGCAGCTTCAGGTTATGGAAATTATAGTTTGTAGTAACACACTAGTCTACAATTAAGTTAGTTTTGTGTTCAATTAGAACAACTTCCTAATAGAAGCATTTTTATATACACACAGTTTCTTGCATTTGGAAAGATGCAAATCTGTTCACTAAACTATTCTTTCTACAATGTACAACAGGTAAATCCAGACTAACGTTCACAAGTTTTTAAGGGTCTACCGGCCTCATGTTATGGAAATTGTAGTTACTAATTACACATTACTCTTTACAAAAACATGAAGTTCCAGTGGATCAACTTCCTAACAGAAACAATTTCGTATAACCCAGTTTTGCTGCATTAGAAAGATGTAGACCAGTTTCCTAAATATTCTACAAATGTACAGCATTAAGGTAATTGGGTAAATCAAGAGCATCATCAAGATGATTCAGAGATCTATATGTTTCAACTTACGGAAATTATAGCTATTAATGACTCATCAATCATTAAATGACATGCAAATTGGGTTCTGCCTTTTAACTACAAGTTGCACAAATTCTGTCGGAAACTGCTTCGCTATATACACAAGTTTCATGCCTTTAAAATGATATGGCTTCCATTTTCTAAATATTCTTTCTACAGTGTACAATAGGGTATATCCAGACCATCATCCAGATGATGTAAGGACCTATTGGCTTCAAATTGCAGAAACTATAGTTATTAATGACTCATTAGCCTTTACAACAACATGCACATTGAGTTAGTGATAAGTTCAAGTAGAGCAACTTCCTAATAGAAACTATCTCATATATGCATAAACTTCTTGCATCTAGAAAGATACAAATCCATTCATAAATATTCTTTCTGCAATGTATAACATCAGATTTTTGGGTAGATCCAGAGTCTAGACTATTAAATGATTTGAGGATCTACTATCTTCAAGCCATGGAAATTACAGTTATTAGTGACATGTTACTCTTTATAGGTACATGCAAATTGGGCTAATCTTAACTTCAAGTAGAGCAACTCTATAATAGAAACTTTTTCACATACAGACAATTTAGTTTCATTTGCAAAGATGAAAATCTGCCTCCAAATAATTATTTCTAGTTTTTACAACATACAGCGGTAAGGTATTTGGGTATATACAGACCATCATCCAAATAATTTACAGATAAACTGCTTAAAATTATGAAAAATAGAATCATTAGCCACCAAAACAAAATGCACGCTGGGTTACTCTTAAGTTCAAGCAGAGCAACTTCCTAATAGAATCAATTACATATAAGCAATCTTCCTGGATTTAGAAAGATGCAAACCCATTTCCTAATATTGTCTTTACAATGTACAATACTAAGGTATTTGTGTTAGTCAAGATCATAATCTACATGTTTAAACGCTAGCGGAGCTAGGGATTTTGGCAAGGGGTGTCCCAAAAAATTTAATAATTAAACACTTTTTTTTGCACAATTGATTAATATCTTAACATTATTACATAACGAATTTATTCTAGTTCTACTCCTATAATCATATATCATCTGAGTTCTTCTCTAATAATGTCAAAGTGCTCCTAACTAGTGTCCTCTAATTCATACATTTGTTAAAATTAAAAAAAATACTTTTGGCTCACGAATCAAATGTCTTCAGATTATGAGACTAAGAAAAATGACCTTATGACTGCCATAACAAAAGAAGAGCCATAATTTCTAACAGGTATGGTAAACTTTCAACCAGCAAAAGAAGACATAATATGATGATCTTTCGAATCATCTTCCAAAGCACCTATTTTGCTCAACTACCCACATACAACCCAAGAACAACAGCTACAGTGTAACCCCTCTTGTCATAACAATATTATGTACAACCCATCATTCAATTTCCTTGGCTGACATCACCCCAAAAGAAAACTTTTACTGCACCACAGCAGATGCTGCTTCCTATTTCAAGCAGCAGATGTTTCCTAGAACACAAAAGCAAACAAACAAAAGAAAAGGACAAAAAGGAATACACTGTTCATCTTCTTTGTTTCCCTTCCTTTCAATTTTTTTCCAGTGAACCAAAAAGAGAAAGAAAAGCAGTTCTTAGCCTCCATTAAAGTTTATATTAGATTTACTGACCCTTTGGACCCAACTGGGCACCGCCGCTGCTATGTTTAACGGATTTATTGACTTCAGGTTATAGAAATTATAGTAACTAATGACTAGTTAGCCTTAAAACAAGCACGTCGGACTAGCCTTGAGTTCAAGTAGAGTACCTTCCCAATATAAACTATTTCATGTATACGCTTTTCTTTCATTTATAAAGAAGTAAACAAAAATATTAACTATTCTTCTTACAATGCACTACAGTAAGGTACGTGAGTAAGTTCAGACCATGAGCCAGATGATTAAAGGATGATATGGCTTCAAAATATGGAAACTATGGCCATTAATGACTTATTAGTCACTACTCCTTACAACAACATGCACATTGGGTAATTATTAAGTTCAATTAGAACAACTCCCCAGTAGAAACTACTTCATAAAAACACAATTTTCACGCATTTAGAAAAAATGCAAATCCATATCTAAACACTCTTTGGACAATGTAGAACACTAAGAATTTTGAGCAAATCAAGACCATTGTCCAAATGATTTAGGGATCTATTAGCTTCAAATTTGGGAAATTATAGTTATTAATGACTCATTAGACTTTACAACAATATGCACATTAGGTTAATCTTAAGTTCAAGTAGAACAACATCCTCTTGCATTTAAAAGATGCAAATCCATTTGCACTAAGGTAAGGGGGTAACGTTATTACATTTTCGACGCCACGATATAAATGCTCCCTCCGGATCCCCCGCCACCATTAGCACCTCCATTGCCACCATCAGCACTAATCACCCCATCAAGGTCAACCATATCCTCCACCTTCAACCAAATTCTCCCGCCACCTCCACCCCCATAATCAACCTCCTTACTTGTCGACCCACCTCGGCTGCCGTAACTATCCGGACGCTCCAAATCCTTCCAAGCGTAAGCATCTCCTCCCAAGAATCCTCCTGTGTCTGCCCTTCCTTCACAAAACAACTCGCCCTCTCCCTCCATGCCCGCCACCGTCCCCGTGGGTCCCGCTAGGGGTCCCACTCGTCTGTGACGGCGGGTCACCGCTAGAGCAGTGGTGTTGACGCGCCGAATCCACGCCAAGGCTCACATTCTTCGCTACCAAGTAAACCCTACCAGCTACAATCTTCGATCCATTTCCCATCCGAATCGATCCCGACGACAGATTCGCTGCGATGAAGCATCCAGGGACTGAGCAACTGAGTGATTTCCCTTCAAGGATCGACAGGCTCCCTTTTCCCTCGATGTAAACATCGCTAGAGAGATTCAAGCTCGTGCTCAGCACGCAGAGAGTATCGAAATCGCCGGCGCCGCCGAGGTCGTCCTCGCAGGAGCACGACGGGAAATCGAATCGGCGGCGGCGGAGACGGCGGCGCGGTGGAGAGTAGTCATGCCAATTGAGGATCGAGAGCTCCCCGTCGAATCGCGAGACGGATCGGAGGCGAAACTGGGTTAGGGTTTAGGAGGAAGAGGAGGGAAAGAGGAGAGGAGGAGAGAGAAAGAAGGCGGGAGCGGCGGAGCGGGAGCCATTTCGATGAGAGGAGAAGCAGAAACTCATCAGATTTCGAGCCCAAATTTTAGGGTTTCGGGATCGGAGCCGGATTTTGCTAAATTTTGGGGTTTTTTCGGGCAGATGTTTTTGGTTGAATGTTTCCGTTCGAAAAGGAAGGGGAACAGAATTTTTGGGGGAAAAGTACTACTGAGGGAGAAAGAAGACGGTGGTCCTTCAGTTCTTCTTTATTTCTCGGGTGTTTTTCATGTTAGACCCTGCGTTTATTCTGTTTTTAATATTAGGCACCCAAATCTGCACATTTGTGTTTGCACCTCAAAATTAGCATATATATCCGTTAAAAGTGAATAAAGATTACAAGCCATATAAACAAATCTAAAACGAATATGGGGGAAAATAAAATAAGATTGATGGTCATACGATAGAAGAGAAGTTAAATGGTAATATTTCGAAAATCACGACTGTATATCTATATCATCAAAACTGACGTTGAGCTCATTAAGCTAGCTATGAATGTAATTTTAATTATGTGATGGGTACATATATTTGGGTATATGCATGCGAGCGTCTCCCCTCTTTATTTATGTTCGTATTCACATTTTGTCGGGTATAAAAACAATATAAGCAATCGCGGTGTAATTTAGAAACATGAGTACTTTGGTGCAAAGAGACTAGTAGAGCCAGGGTCTAATATGGGAAATATACTTTTCTGCCTTTTTCCCCCTCCTTTGCTCCTTTGCTTTCACTTTTGCCCCTACAGATACGACACATCGTCATAGAATATAAGGGATTCGATGGGTGAAACGGAGAGGGTGAACTTTCGGGGATGGCCCACATTCATACCCGTACTTTACTGAGCATAATTAAAAGTACGATATTTAATCAATCGTAACCGTTCATTTATTACATAAATGGCTGAGATTAGAGATTGTATGAGATTGTTGTGCGACTTGATACAGTGGATCCTTAGACCGGTAACGGGACAGGGGTTTCGTGCAAGGAAAACGTGCCACGTATACTGCGACGGTGTTCCTTGTATATAGATTGAAGTGCTTAGGGACGAAGTCATTGGCCCAACGAATTTGATGAATTGTATTTTCAATAATACGTTGTTTATTATGTTTTAAAAAAAAATTTGAAATCATAATTTGTCTCTTATCTAGTCATACAATATTAATGTTATCAATCGTAATCAAACTTTTCATAAATCAACAAAAATCATTATAAAAAATTATATATGGAGAATATTAGTCATGCTCTCATTTTTGCGAACTACTAAGAGGGGGTTTGGATAGGCTTATTTTTTGGTCAAACGAGCTTTTAAAACTAGCTTTTTTATTTCTACCTATTTGGTAAAATGTCAAATAAGTTAGCTTATAAGTCTTATTTTAAAAAAGCTGATGTACTCCAGCTTTTAAAAACTAGCTTATAAGCTCACTTTAAAAAGCTAGGTTTGACCAAACAAATTACTATTCTACTCAAACATTTTTATAGTATTTTTTTTAAAAAACCTAAAAGTCATTAAAAGTCGGTGTTTGCGGGAAAACTGCAAAAAAATTTGAGAAATAAATTTGTATTAATCTCCCTAACTAACTTAGGAAAAGAATAAATACAATCTCTCGATGTAACATCTCTCTAACTGACTTAGAAAAAGAAATTATAATTTTTTCTTATCGGTTTCCTAATTTACAAAAGAGAAAAGGAATCGATGGAGATCATTCCCTTTGTTTAAACATGGGTTCTTCTTGGTAGCGATGGGAGTTTGAATCTTGTATCCCGTTGACGATCCGAACATTTCACTTCATGGAACGTTAGTTTATTCCTCTTAACGTGACGTTGAGAAGAACTTGTGAGGCAAGTTTGGAACTCTAAACGAGTTTAAAAACTCTAAACGAGTTTAAAACTCTATAAAATAGCTGAATTTAGAAAGGAAATTAATCCTTTTTAACTTGACCAAAATGGTTCACAAGCCAAGACAAAAGCTCTCAAAAAGCCTTAAAGATGATCTTCAAAGCTCTTTTCTTCCTTCTCTTTTTTTTAGTTGAACCCCTTTTTAGCTGACTTTTCAGCTATTTATAGGAGTTTTAAGGAGTGTAACTGACCCCTTAAATCGCTCCTTAATGAGGGTTTAATGCCTTTAATTCGTGGGAAACGGTTTTGGAACTGTTTAAAACGTGTTTGAATCAGTCAAACGCGAGATTCGCGTTCTAGAAACGACCCTCGCGTTTAGAATTGAAAACGCGGCAGTGATCTCCGCATTTTGAACTGGGAACGTGGTGGTGAACCCTGCGTTTTGAGCTTGGAACACGGTGATGAGCTCCGCATTTTGAGCTTGGAACGTGCTGATGAGCTTCGCATTTTGAGCTTGGAATGCGCTGATGAGCTCCGCATTTTGCTTTGAAGAAATCATCAACTTGTAATCTCTTTTGTTAGAGTGTTGCAAGGATTGTCATTTTGTAATTCTAGCCTTTGGCTCTTTGAGATGTGAGAATCATCAGTTTGTAACTCTCGTTTGTTGTTGCGAAAGTTGTTAGATTGTAACTTCCATCATCAGTTGTTGTGAGAATCATCAAATTATAACTCTCATTGATTGATATGAAAGTCGTCAGATCATGACCTTCATCATTTGTGTTTTATGGGATTAGCTATCTGTGGTGGTTTTTAGACAGCCTACAGTCAGCATAACTTATAAGCTTTAAAAAATAAGCCTTACAAAATACCCCATAAGTACGCCGATATAGTGTGATTGGGATTAAAACAAATTTCAAGTTGAAAATGTAGAAATCCAAACTTGATGGACCTGCAACTCACTCTATGCGAATTAGGCTAGAAACCAACATAAAGCCAACCAATACGGATGAGACTGCACCGAATTAAGTGCGTATACTCAAAACCGATTTTATAAGCTTTGTTTTCGCAAAAAGGAAATAACTATAAAATAAAAGGCGAAAAAAGAACTGTCCAATACGAGCTAGCTTGGGCTCATGACTTGAAGGGTCTTACCTGCAAGTCATTGATGATTTTTACTCCAGAGGCTTTTATATCATTGATGGCCTCACAACCATTGATGGGGCCTCGACACTATTAATGATCAAAAGACACCGCTGATGGTAAACACAGCAGAATTATAGTTTTTTAGATTTAATCTCAGCTATTCAATGTTTCATATATCTCCAATCTCTAGTAAGTTTAAGTGACACATTAAGGGGTTTATTTCATTGTGGGGGGGAGAGAGAGAGAGAGAGAGAGAGAGAGAGAGAGAGAGAGAGAGAGAGAGAGAGAGAGAGAGAG